TAGACCATGAGATCATGACCTGAGCTGAAGTTGGGCGCTCAACCACTGAGCCACCCAGGCGCCCCTACCTAGGCCTGTTTTTAATGTCCATTTTTAACCTTAGTTTTTGGTCAACTTTTGTCATTTTGTATGCCTTGTAAATTCTTACTATTGGGTGACCCTTTGAGGTTCCACCTGAAAGCCTGGGTTGTTTATCAATGGTCCTCCTTCTTTTTATTATTTTTTTTTTAATTTTTTTTTTCAACGTTTATTTATTTTGGGGACAGAGAGAGACAGAGCATGAACGGTGGAGGGGCAGAGAGAGAGGGAGACACAGAATTGGAAACAGCCTCCAGGCTCCGAGCCATCAGCCCAGAGCCTGACACAGGGCTCGAACTCACGGACCGCGAGATCGTGACCTGGCTGAAGTCGGACGCTTAACCGACTGCGCCACCCAGGCGCCCCTCAATGGTCCTCCTTCTTGACAGGCCCTGAATCTCAATATTTATTCACCTAGTCTTATGAGACTGCCAATATATGATTAACTTCTCAGCATCTTAGCTGCTGGTTTCAAATTAGCAACTGTTTTGAGGAGAAAATGGCTTAAAATGTCAGGCTATCACTCTGAGTTTCCTCTTCTAGAAGAGGAATTGTGAGAACAGAGAATGTAAACATCCATGAAATCTCAATATGCACTACCAAACTGCTTTAAAAATAGCGGTCTAATTTCATACTTCCATTGCATTATATGAGAATGGCTGTTTTGCAGAGGTTTACTTTTGAGTAATTTACATACCTGTTTTTTCTTTTGCATTACCATTATGGTTCTTACTAAATTGTTGGTATAACATTTTACTCTTCTTTGCCTAGAATTCCTCTATGTCATCCTCATCCTACTGTTACTGAATTCTCTGTGAGATACTTTAATTTCTTGACAAGATGCCTTTTTGTTTTTCAGACTTGTTTTTTTTGCATGGGAGATGAGCACTATTTTGAGTTTTGCTTTTAAACAGATAAGAACCTAGAATAGTTCCGTTATCCTTTTGTTATCATACACATAATGGAATATGCACAGTTGCTTTTCAAAAACCTTCCATTATTTACGTGAACTGTTTATTCATTGATCTTAAATTTTTATTTTATGCACATAAATAGAATAAATTAGCTTGTCTGAAGGAAAAAATAACTTCACCCATGTCAGGGCTAATCACTTCGTTTCCCTGCCTTTTGATATTTGGCCAAAAGCTATAGGAAAATACTTCACACAGTACATAGAAATTCACAGAGGCAGGGCTATTAAACTGCTATCACACAGCATTTACTAGTTATCTTTTTCTTTTTACAATAAGCCTTCCCACTTTTCTTTAGTAGAAAAGTGACTTCAGACCTCTGCTTATAAGTCATGATATGCTGAGAGTGTAAAATGTACCAATCATTCTTTCAGGAGTCTTGGCATGGGACTGATTAGTAAAGAGATTGAAGAGACATATGGCTATGTAACTTTTTAAAAAACAAACACTTTCCATTATTTAAGCGCTGATTTATCTAGTTCTTAGGTTCTTCTTGATAGCTTCATGCTACTTATCTACATTAAGGTTTCTACAACTCTAAAGTTTGCTAAAATTACCTTAGAGTGTCAGTTCTTCCAATAGACACCTACCTAACAATTCTCTGTACAGATTGGCACCTATGTTTATAGCTGTGGGAGGTTTGATGAAGGGGTACAGTATTTAAGACCTCATAAGGTTTTTAAAAATTTTTTTAAATGTTTATTTATTTTAGAGAGAGAGCACAAGCAGGGGAGGGGCAGAGAGAGAGAGAAAGGGAGACAGAACGGAAGCAGGCTCCAGACTCTGAGCTGTCAGCACATAGCCCAATGGTGGCTCAAACCCACAAACCATGAGATCATGACCTGAGCCGAAGTCGGCTGCTTAACCAACTGAGCCACCCAGGCGCCCCAAGACCTATACGTTTTTAGAAGACAAACTTAGGAAGACTCAGGGAGTTTGATTCAGCTCATTGCTATTACAAGAGAAAAGCCCTCAGATTTGTAACATTATAAGCTATTTTGGACAAAAACTATTCATGTAGTTATCATTATCTTGGTGAGGCCCAACTTGGCCCACAGCTTCCTACCATCCTGATTCTAGATTTACAGAATGAACAACTGCCTAGGGAAGTGTAGAGAATGAGAATGAGTGGGAAGGTAGCCTTCTTAATGTAGTTTGGTCACTCCTGAGGCATCTAGAACTGACCTGGAAGTTAATATATGGTCTTAGAGGTAGGAAGAAAGATCATGCATAGCTAGTGAAAATTCTAATAATTTCTTCATTTTGTTTCTTGTTTGTCTACTATTTTTTCCTCCTGCTGGAATATATTAAACATCCTTAGAGATAATGAGTGATAGCAGGAAATAAACAGCATATTTTACTGAAAACAATCAAATTGAGAAGAGGCTTCTGTTTCTAGCTGAGTTTCAGTAACAGAAACTGTATTTGACTTCTCACCTGAAACAACTAAGAATCTAGAAGAAATTATATGAACTGATGTTTTCCAAGATATTGGACACTGTTCTCACAGACCGCGAGATCATGACCTGAGCTGAAGTCAGACGCTCAACCGACTGAGCCACCCAGGCGCCCCAACACTGGTTCTTTAAGAAGTTTAATAAAGCTGATAACTCTCAGACAAGATTGATCAGGAAAAAGGAAGGAGACACACCTGACCAGTATCAGCAACAAGAAATGTTACATCACTATACAGATTCTATAGATACTAAAGTGGTAATAAGGAAATATCTTGAACAAGTTTATGAATATAAATCTGGCAACTTAGATGAAATGGACAAATTGCTTGAAAGACACAAACTATCCATGTTCTCTCAAGAAGATACAGATAACTGGAATATACTGATATCTATTTTAAAGAAATAGAATTTGTAGGTAAAAACCTCCCCACAGAGAAACTTCAGGCCCAGAATGCTTTGCTGATGAAGTCTATAAAATATTTAAGAAAAAAATCAATCCTACAGGAACTCAGCTAGAAAATGAGAGTGGAATTATATCCTAACTCATTCTATGAGGCAAGTTTTACCCTGATGCCAAAGCAGACAAAGACATTCATTACAGAAGAAAACTACAGATCAATACTCTTCACAAACATAGATGTAAACAATTGAATCAAAATTTTAGCCAATCAAATTCAACAATATATTTAAAGGGTTAACATTATGATCAAATGAGATTTATTTTAAGAGCACAGGGTTGCTTTAACATTGAGAAAGAAAAACTATATGATCATCTCAGTAGATGCATAAAAAGCATTTGACAAAATGCTACTCCAACATTCATTCATAATATTCATTGCCACAATTAAATGTTCTGAATCATGATCCTGTTACTCCTTTGTCTGAAATTTTCCCATTGCTTCCCGTGCCCATTGTGAAGATCAAATTCCTCAGCCTGGTATTCAAGGCTCACTGTGATCACTCCCCAAATCTGGCCCCTACAGCCCTGTTACACTAATTGATACACTGCTCAGTGGAGCAATGCTGTAAAATGCCTTATATCTCCTAGATCCTAGCTTTTTCTGCCTCCTTCAGTTTGTTTATGCTGTTCCTTTGCTCTAAGTAAGATAGTGGTTCGCAACCTTGGCTGTGTGCTAGAATTACTATGGAGTTTAAAAAAATACCATGCTCTATTCCAGCACTAGAACATCTGACTCGGAGTCTAGGGTAGGATCAGGACATTAAAAACTTCTCAGGTGATTCAATTGTGTAGGTAGGGTTGAGAACTAGTGATCTAGGATGTTCTCAAAGACTCCAAATTTGCATACCCCAAATTTACTTATCTTTCTAAGATAATTCTAAATGATAACTCCTTCACAAAGTCTTCCCAGATCATCCTTGGCTGGGAGAAAGTTCTCCTCTAAATGCCTTGATACATTATTTGCCTCTCTCTCAATCCTTACACCTGCAGCTCTTTTCTGATCTACCTGAGTGAAAGTTCTTAAAACCATATTCACAAGTCTTTTTTGAATTTTTGCCCCAAACAAGTCATCATTTTTAACATGGTAGATAGATACTGAATGAACAATTTGATGAAGTGTTTTTGGATGGTTGAAAGAACACTTAGGTGTTCACTACAGTTGAATGGTAATAGAGGGTGATTTTAGGAAATGTGACCTAAGGGGAAATGTTTCCTTTATGTATGATCATCAAACCTGGCTAACAACTTCTTTTAGCCTTCTAACACCCTCTGTCAACATGTGTTTATTACTAATAATTCACAATTCAATCTGTTGTTAAGGAACAAGAAAATCAGGGTTAAGTAAATGTATAGATGAGTCTACTCTTTTATTTCAGTTCTAATATCAACTTTCATCCTGATAATTCTTTTTGCCAGATACCAACAACCATAAAAATGGATCAAGGAATAAGTCCACCTTTCTCCTTATATCTTGAACTCAAGAGACTAGTAGAAGAGAAAAAAAATACTAAATCCATCTGAATGATTTCCCAATAATAAAAAAAATATAATTGACTTTATTTGTAGGGATTATGTAGTGCTATTTTCTCTGGCATCTTTGAAAAATCAGCATCCTTGTTTGGTTCCCTAGAAAGTTACATTGATTTCTTATCATTGTTCAGAACGTGAAACAGTTGTATTTCAACAAGCTGTTTAGGGTTTTAGATGAAATCATGGATGTAACAACAGATTAGAAACAAAATTTTCTGGGGCGCCTGGGTGGCTCAGTCAGTTAAGCGTCTGACTTCGGCTCAGGTCATGATCTCATGGTTCAGGAGTTCCAGCCCTGCACTGGGCTTTGTGCTGACAGCTAAGAGCCTGAAGCCTGCTTTGGAGTCTGCGTTTCCCTCTCTCTCTCTGCCCCTCCCCTGCTTGTACTCTTTCTGTCTCTCAAAAATAAATAAACATTAAGAAAAAAGAAATAAAATTCTCTACTGATATAACGTAGCTTCTATCCCAAGAGAAGATATTAAATAGTTCAAATAGAATATGTACCTGGATCTAGATTGGCCCACTTCTTCAAGAATCATGGAAAAGTGCTTCCGGGTGTTCTCTGCCTGGAATGAGCATGCAGCAAATTTCTTTGAATCACCAAACAAAGATAGGAAATAATCTTCTCCTTCCCCAGTTACAGCTGTCTCAGGAGCAAGGACTGACGGAGGCTGTTTCTTTGTCATTATGAAGCTGTTGACTCCTTTTAAAGAAATCAGTCAAAGAGGAAAGCAACAGAGAGAGAAATAAATAAAAAGACATTAAAGGAACCCAAAGTTGCTATCTTTATTCTTTGCTTCTACAAAATTATATTCTTTATACATTTTACGGTCACTGTCAAACTCAATGAGGATAATTAAAAGCTTTAAACCAAAGTCTATAAAATAACTAGTGATTATTTTTAGTAACACATAATTTCTAGAGATTATTTCAATAATCTTAAATTATCAATAATATCACTGGCATAATGACTTTTACTCAACTGATTATTAAATACTAGAAGCATTATAAGCTTTCGTATGTACTAGAAGCATCATAAGCTTTCCAGGAGGTAAAACATTTGAGTTTCTCAAATTTGGATATGTTATATATAAACACAACTTTATTTTATTTCATATTAGCCATCCTCCCCAAATTATTACCCATAAATTAAAACGTCAAATGAATCCTTCCTACCAACAATTAGTAATTGTGCCAGGTAAAGACTTAAATTTCCTCTAATGAACTAAAATTCTTTATTAGAAAGATAAAGTAATGCTTAATCAGACTCTAGTATGCTCTTGGAAATTTGTTTTTTTTTAAATTATGATTTTGCATGGAAAGAACCATGCTGAGTAAACCTAATCATGTGTCTGCAGAGAGAGTAACACTTCAGAGAGGGACCATGATGGAGTGGATAGAACAAAATATCTTGGATTTACACAGACCTGCAATTGTATCCAGGCTCTGCCACTTAGTAAGCCAATGGATTTAAACTTTTTAATTCTCCATTTTCCTGAACACAAATTATACTACCTTGTGTAAGGCAATGTGAGGATTGAAGAAAATGTAGATAACTGTCTAGCACAGTGTCTAGTATTCAGCAAATATTCAGTAAGTGATAGCAATTATTGTAGTTCAGGGACTTTGGTTAATGTGACACTGGGTCCAAAATCATCAAAGGATTAAGGCAATCTAGAGTTTGCTTTATATTCTTGTGTCTTTAACAAAGCCAAAACAAGATGAAAGATGGAAAGGAGTAAACACGTAGTTCCTAAAAAGAATTCCTCAAAGTATTTTGTCTAGAAGCAATGTATGGAATTCAATTAGTTCATTTCCAGTCAAGTGGGTATTTACTTAATCATTAAATTTCTTTGGGGAAGGAGATTATACATTATCTTTGTATTCTAAAAAGAAAGAAGATGGATTAATTTTAGTGCCAGTTGTTATTTAATCTAGAAAGGAACCCAGGTATCTATCTATAGAAGTTGAATCTACGGTAACTGAAGGAGAAGAATACAGCTCAGCTCAAGTCTCATCTTGCAAGGGGAAACCACTATGTTTTGTTTTTCCCCCTAATACTAAAAGATTGCACAGTTTAATCCAAATATAGGACATATACCATGATGATACAGTGACAAAGAAGGAAAAATATTCCCTCCCTAGATGTAAAGTTGGTATTTTCACTTTTGAGTGTATGGATTTTGGTCACTGCTAAAGGTCAGTGTGATCTTAGGAGGTCTTTGTAAAAAATATATTTTAGGCATACAAACAATGAAGCATAGGTAATAATGGCATTAGGTGAAATCCCCAAATGAAATAGGAAAATATCAGAAACAAAATGAAACACAGATAAACAGCAGCCAGGCTTAACTGTCCACAGAGTAATAGAGGAAAACAGAGGCATCAAGAGTCATGGGTGTGTTTGTGCTACCAGTTTGGAAACTTGTTGACTGGTAATTGAAATACAGACCCCAAATTTAACCTATTTAATGAGAAGGTGCTTGTAGATATATTCAGATTCACAACTAACTTTTATTTAGTACTTACTGTATGCTAGGTAATTTTCATAAATATTTTATTTAATTCTTAGGCCAGCCCTGTGAAGTTGACATTTTCATCCCTATTTTGCACTTGTGGGTAATGGAACTCAGGGATGTTAAATACCCTTACCTAAAATCTCCCAGTGCAGGAAGTAGAAATATAGTTTAGAGCTAGGTCCTCTGTTTCCAAGACCATGGTCTTTTCAGTAAACCTTGATAATTAATATACCCTCAAAGTTCCCTACACTTGTTTAAAAACAAACATGCTGTGGGTATTGCTAAAGTGCATTGTTTACAGTGTTGGCAACTGTCAAAACCTGACTTTTTCCTGTTATAGAACTGCTTCTGTTTTCTTCTCCTCCAAATTCATTATTGTTCTTTTTCTCTCCACCGTTTTGTTACCATTTATTTTGCTTCTTTCTGTTATCTGTCTTTTCCTTACATAAGCCATAAGTCTTCTAATGGCACAAATACACAAGACATTGCTTAGTCTTTCTGATAGTGTTCAGAGGAAGGGGAGTAAATGCTACACATTAGAATTTTCATCTAGCAATTCTAGAGCACCTCAGCCATCAGCCCATGAACATTATGACAATTCAAGATATTTTAATCATGGGGATGATACATCTGGCCACATACATTTATGTGACCTGAGTATGACTCCAGTGCTAAGATCAATGGTAAGGATAATCAAGTTACTCTGCATATGACATTAAGAGATTTGTGTTATTGGAGACAAATCATAACACATCATTCTGACTTCTAGGCACATAAAAAACCTATTGAACTGCATGCTTTAAAAAATAGTCTAAAATTTTTGATACATGTTTTACTTACCCAAGCTGTTTGCTGATTGGGAATGGCCCTCTATAGTAGTTTTAGGAGTGTTCTGCCCAGTTGTTGATACAGTTATTCCACTAAACTGAGGGTCAGACATATAGTAACTGAGAGGTGTGTCATAGGTTAATGACTGTGACAAAGGCAGTGTGGCATCTGAATCTGTTTGCGGAAAAAAATGTACTAAAGATCGCTGTGTCACTGGGCGACCATCATGTGTGTCTTCTCTTCTGTGCACATAAAATAGTATAATAAACAAAGTAAGAAAGTCAAAACGAATAGATACAAACATAAGAATCATGAACTATGATTACTACTCAGAGTTCTGCTTTTTAAAAGAATTATACATCTTGTACGCATAAGGACATCTTACAGTTGTAGTTTTAGCGATCTAAGTAAGATGCTTTAAGCCTCAAGACATGCTTTTATTTACTTTTTTACCTAAAAAGTAAATTGCGACTGTAGATGATTTTGAAAACGTACAAAAGTAGAAAGAAGAAAACAAAAGTCACCAAAATGCCACCAACCAAAATTTTTACAATTTAATTCCAGGCCTTTTAGTGTATTCTTTTTAACTCAAAATTGAGACTCTAGAAACCATTTATATCCCACTTTTATCACTTGTTACATAATATTTCCCTTTCAATTAGCTTAAAAAGCATGATTATAATACCTGTTTAATATATCATTGTTTACTAAACCGTTTTCTTTCAATTCCTGTTGCTTAACTAATTTTCTATTTCTATTTCTAATTATAAAAATTCTAGAGTTAATGTCTACTTTCAAATATAGTCTGAAAATTAATTTCTATAAATGCAGAGCACATGTGTACATGTGTGTGCGTGTGTGTGTGTGTGTGTTGAGGGGAATATAGAAAAGAGAGAGAAGAAAGACTTAATTTGCCAGTATTATTTTTATAAGTAAGTCTTACTATGAACAAAGATTTTCCTTTCTTTCTTTTTTAAATGCATAAAGCATTTATTAACTAGTGTGCATTTAAACAAAGCCTCTAAACCACAACACAATTATTTTACAAGTAAAACAATATTCCCATGGCACGACTCATGAAAAGGTTTGTGACAAACTTTGTATGAGTCACATTGAGATTTAGTTACCTCAAAGCAATCTGTGTGTGTGTGTGTGTGTGTGTGTGTGTGTGTGTGTGTGTATGCATGTGTGTGTGTTTAATACTTGAATTATCAACAAAGTCCTGGGGTCCAAAATCCTTTAGATTTCTGAAAAACTTGGTAAATGGTCAGCTTATGCACCCCTTTACTGGGGGCCACTTATCTACCTCTGTTAGTCAAGAGCTAAGTATTTGCCTTCATGGATTGTCACTATTTTGATCTCTTTATTTTCCAGAGTTCCTATGAAGATATTTTAGCAAGTCTTCTGTTTTTTTGTTTTTTTTGTTTTTTGTTTTTTTCCAAATGTTTTCATAAGGGGACAAGGGCCTGAAGTTTCCTAATCCACCAAAGTGATATCAGTCTTAATCTCTTTGTTTACCAAGATATATTCATAATTTTGTTCTGCAATTTGTAAGTTCCTTCATCAGAAATATTGTATCTGGAGAGTTCTGTACTAAAAACCAGACTTCTCTAAATGTACCTCTCAGAAGGTACAGACATCCTAGTTAATTTTTTTTAAATAATTAAATGGCATTGGCTTTAAAAATTGTACTACTAGCCCAGTACATGTTAAGCTTGAGCATTTGCCATTTTGCTGACATCCTAAGCACTCATCTTTGTCATAAAAGCTCTAACCCATGAAAATATACTCTTGTCTATGATGTGGTGGGTAGTGGGAAGGAGACTATAGAGGTAAATTGTCAAATTAAAAATATTTCGTCTCTGTCCAACCTGAGACAGGATCATATGATATGATTTCTGCCTGATACTAGCTAGAATAAGCAGGAAAAGTACTTTTCTCTTTCAAAGTTCCTTACATCTATCTGGGTTTCATTACAAACTGCCTATATCTTTTCAGCATGTTCATTTTATAAGCTTCAAAGTTTTTTCTTCCTCCAGTAAAACAATAGCATTTTGGAATAATTTAATTCCACAGAAGATTCCTAATAAGCTTTTGCAAATGTTGTGATTAAAGAAATCTGGCCTAGGGCCACAAAGTATTCTTATTTTTGTAGTTGAATAAGAAATTTCTAATAGGTGCACATACTTTTGTAAGAGCTCCAACATTTCAGGAAGAGACACATGTCTAGATACATTATTTAAACCCTGTACTCCCTGACTTGTTAGACTCTTTTTGGAAGATAAGGGATTTGTCCTAGTGCTTAGTTAGCTTTGCCTCTATTGTATGGAATTTTCTAAGCTCTTTGTTAGTACTTTGTTACCTCTGGGATTGATTAGCACTAAACCAGAGGTAGTTATAAAAGTTCAATTCCCACATTTCAATGTTATTTTAAGGGGTACTACATTGGTAATACTGACACCAATCATTTCTCAGATGACCTCAGATGACCATTTAAAAAATGGACTTGAACTGAACAGTAAACACAGGACACCTAGGTGCGAAATAACATTAGCTTTAAATTGGGTACATTCAGGGAGTTCCTGTCTGGCTCAGTCTGTAGAGCACATGACTCTCAATCTCAGGATCGTGAGTTAAAGCCCCATATTGGACATGGAGCCTATTTAAAAAAAATTTAGGTATTTAAATTGGGTATATTCAATACTAGAGGCCATTAAAAAAAAAACTGGAAAATCTATGCTAATTCTCTAATTGATAGAATGATTTAATCAGTAAAAACAGGGAGTTGTAGTTTTTTGCTTTTGTTTTTCTTTCTTTTTTTTGGTGGTGGTGGGGTGAGTTGCAGTTTTTATTTCACATCCTCACAGGTATTTTCCAAACCAAAATTCTCTATCAATTCTTTGTCCCCAAGGTCAGTAAAGTAGTTCTAAAGAAATTATCTGCCAATTTCCTTAACACGCTAGATATAAGTTTTGGAGTCTCAACCATGACTCATATGATAGAGATCTGTACAGGTGAACTTTTGTATTACTCAAGGACTGTACTTTATAACACAGTGGTTGGGGAAATAGTTGTATGTTATAGTTAATTTTAGAAAAATGTGTGGAATCAATTCTAGTTACAACTACTTCATAAGATATTTTGAAAGAAGAGGTCAAGTACGTCCTCATTATCCTCTAAAACTCAGATCCTTCTCTCCTCTCACTTATGCCATTCTTACTGTGCTTGATTTTCCATTTTATCTTCCTGCTCATGGACTTCACTCTGCAGGGCCACTGAAGTTTTCTGACTGGCTTGCATGTCTTTCATCTTGGCTAGAAGAAAAGTCTCGTTTCTTTCCTGGGGGAAAAAAATCATGATATTAGGAATAAATATAGCTGAATTTGAAGGTAGACTTTATTTTCAAGTGACCTCACCAGTTAATCTAACTACCTCAAAGCATATGCCAGATTAAATAATTTCTTTCCCAAACTGGTGCCAGAGCCAGGCTTCTAATGTAAATATGTAAATATTGACATAGCCAATACTGGTATTGGCTAATGATATGATGCAAATCAGGGTGAAGGTGTGTAACATTCACTTGAAGCAGCTCAAGAGGCAGGGCGGCAACCCAGAAGGCTACCTTTATGACTATAACTTTCACATCGGCCAACACTGCCTGTTAGAACACTGTGAGGTAATGTCTCCATAGTTACAAAGTTCCAGTCTCTGAGCAATTACTATATTGATGCTGCACCTGCTTTTCAATTTGCAGACAGTAAATAAGGTAACTTGCTTTTAGGAGAGCCATATCTCTCACTGGATAAATTTTGATACCAAAATATTCAATATCCTATTTTGGATATCTGAGGGTCAAGGCCTATATATAAATATTGGGAGCATTAGTTACTGTTTTTAATTGTTTTTTTTTTTTAATTTATTTTGTTTTGGCAAATGTTCTCTGAACACACACAAATGGCCAAGCAGCAGGAACAGAAAACTTGTATACTTTTCAGGCAGAAAGAAACCTATTGGTAGAAATAGTGAAATCAAAGCTAGGAGGACCTAAATTCTTCTCCTAGTTATGCCAGCAGTATGGTTTAGAAGAAATCACTTAGCTCAGATTCCAACCTTGAATAAAAGATTCACACTTAATGCTTTATGATAATTATGACATAAGAATAAAATTAACACATAGGAAGGTACATGACTGTACACAGTAATAAGGCAGATTAACAATGATGATTACTGGGTGAGTAGGTTCATTTAATAAATATTTAAATAAGCATCCACTCTGTACCAGGAACCAGATAGGCACTAACAATTCCTTCTTCAAGGAATAAAGATAAACATCTTCCAATTTAGATTAGAAAATAGCTTCCATCAGGGAATGATGAATAATAGTTAAATACAAAGGCCAACGAACAAAGTAACTGCTTTAATAAGTCAAAAGAAAAAGATTTCTTAGGGAACCTATGAAATAGTGGCATGGAGGATCCTAAACTTACCTCTTCACACAGATACTCCTAGATAGCAGCCACATCAGTGTAACTAACTCAGAAAATGACATGAAGACTGGCAGAATAGACTCTCCACAGTTAATTTTGGAAAGGAGGCCACATAAAAAAATGGTAGAAAGGGTGGAACCCCAGTTGGGAGCCAAACTAACCTGTGAGACTAACCATAAATACCAGAGGGACACCACAAGCACAGAAAAGGAGGAAGACAGATTCCACACCAGGCACCCCAGACATATGGGGCCTGAACTGGGAAGATGAGTCCCCATAACATTTGGCTTTGAAAATCAGAAATTCTTAACTTTGAGTTTTCACAATCACCGGGTTTTAACACTGGGAACTTTCAAAATCAGTGGGCTCAGCTCCAGGAGAGCCAGAAGGTGACAGGAAACAGTTGCCACCCTTAACAAAACAGCACACAACTTTGACAAGATACAGCATAGAAGCAGCAGTTTGAAAAGCACCTGGGGTACACCAGGAAGATTTATTTACTAATGTCAGAATGTGTGCTAGAGGAACAGGAATCTTTAAGAAATTTCTCCAAGAACAAAAGAGCTGGCGGGCACCATTATCTCCATCTATCCCCAGCATGGATAGCCAGACATCTGTGGGAACCAGCATGAACACTTGGTACCTAGCTTAGGTTTCATCCTCCAAGAAGATGAGCACTTACCTTGATAACACTTATGTGCCCTGCCCCCACATTCTCCTGCAGACTGCCCCATCCAACCTGCCTTAATCCTTCCAAAGTCATGTCTGATGCAGCGCCTTCTACAAGCAGCCCTGACAGTGGCCAGCACCACTCCAAAATGACTCTTGCTCTGGTGAGAGGGAAAGATAATCACACAGGTCAGTTCCACTGCAGCCTTAGCGGTGGGCTGGGGGAAAACATCTGATCTAACTGCTGGCCCTGCCCACTGACAAAAACTTCACAGGGGGCAGCACAAAGAGAAAGCCCTGTAGTTGGGGGCGCCACTGCAAACAGACAGACTGAGGGCAGACATCTGGTCTGATAGGTTTCACTCACCAAAAAAAGCCACTCAGGAGACAATCCAGGGATAGCAGCCTGCAGGTAAGCGCAACTACAGTTCTGGATAACAGGCTGAGGGCAAGCGACTGGTCTGACCCAACTACACGCACAAAGTGGTCCCAGACTATCCTCATAATAGCACAGAGACCAAACCCTGCCCACAACAAAGATGACCACCTAGCCGACTGGAGTGAAGGAAAATGTGGCTCAACCACAACAGTAGTGTGTATGCAACACACATAGGAGACATCTCTGAAGTGCCAGGTTTTGATGAACAAGGGACATTGCACTACAGGGCACTATAGGACCTCTTCTTCATAAGTCCATTACTTTCAAGAGATATAATTGACTTTCCTAATACATAGAAACAAACATATTTAGACAAAATGAGACAGAGGGATATATCCCAAATGATCAGGACAAAATCATAACAAAATGATTTGGAGATGAGAAATATGCCTCATAGAAATTCAAAGGAATGGTCATAAAGACACTAATTGGATGCGAAAAAAGAGTGGAATGGAGGATCTCAGTGAAACCTTCAACAAAAAGACAGAAAATATAAAAAAGGACCAATCAGAGATAGAGAACTAAATTACTGAAATTAAAAAATACACTGGAAGGAATCAACAGTAGATAAGAGAAAGCAGAAAAATGGATCAGTGTGCTGGAAGACAGAATAATAAAAAGCAAAGAAACTGAACAACAAAAAGAAAAAAAAAGTATAGTAAAAAATGAGAATATTTCAAGGAAACTCAGTGACATTATCAAGCACAATAACACTGATATTATAGGTATCCCAAAAAAAGAAGACAGAGAAAGGGGAGGGGCAGATAATTTATTTGAAGAAATAATAGGTTAAAACCTCCCTAATCTGAGGAAGGAAATAGACATCCAGATCTAGGAGGAACAGAGAGCCCCCAACAAAATCAACGCAAAGAGGTCCACACCAAGACACATAATAATTATAATGGCAAAAAGTAATGGCAAAGAAATAATCCTAAAGCACCACAAGAGAAGAAAACAGTTACATACAAGGGAAACCCCATAAAGCTATCTGCTGATTTTTCAGCAGAAACTGTACGCCAAAAGAGAGTGGCATGATATATTCAAAATGCTGAAAGAAAAAAACCTGTAACCAAGAATACTCTATCCAACAATGCTATCCTTCAGAACAGAAGGAGAAATAAAATAGTTTCATAGACTATTTAAATTTAAATTAATTATAGAACCCCTATAAAATTTAAAGGGGTTCATCACTATATCAGCCTTACAAAAAATGTTAAAGGGAATTTTTGACTGGAAAGAAAATGGCCATAATCAAGAATAAAAAAGTTACAAAATGAAAAGGTTTCACGGGTACACACAAACATAATAAGTAGTAGATTAATTACTTATAAAGCCAATGTAGCTAAATCAAAAAAGCAGTAAAATCATATATATAAAAAATCAGTTAAAGGATAAGCAAAATAAAAGGATGTAAAGTATGACATTATATACATAAAACGTGGGAGGGGACAGTAAAAATTCAGTGCTTTTAGAATGGGTTCAAACTTAAATGACCATCATCCTAAAATAGACTGCCATATGCATAGGATCTTATATATCAACCTAATGATAATCACAAATAGAAAACTGTAAGAGATATGCAAAGAATAAAGGGGAAGGATTCCAAGTATATCACTAAAGAAAACAAACCAAAAGGGAAGAGAGCAAGAGAGGAAAGGGAGAAGAACTACAAAACAAACCAACAAACCAACAAAAAACCATAAAACAAGTAACAAAATGGCAATAACTACATACCTATCAAGAATTACTTTGAATGTAAATGGATTAAATGCTCATATCAAAACATGGGATGACCAAATGGATAAAAAAGCAAGACCCATCTATATGTTGCTTTTAAGAGACTCACTTCTTTTTTTTAATTTATTTATTTAAATTCAAGTTAATTAACATACAGTGAAGTATTTGTGTCAGGAGTACAGCACAGTGATTCATCTCTTACATATAATACCCAAGTGCTCATCTCAATTAATGCCTTCCTTAATGTCTGTCACCCATTTAGCCCATCCCCCCAACCACCTCCCCTCCAGAAACCTTCAGTTTGTTCTCTGTATTTAAGAGTCTCTTATGGTTTGCCTCCCTCTCTGTTTTTATCTTACATTTTTTTCCCTTTCCCTATGTTCATCTAGTTTGTTTCTTAAATTCCACATATGAATGAAATCATATGATATTTGTCTTTCTCTGACTTATTTGCTTGGCATAATACACTCTAGTTCCATCCACATTGTTGCAAATGGCAAGATTTCATTCATTCTGATTGCTGAATAATATTACGTTGTGTGTGTATGTATATATGTATATATATCTCATATCTTTTTTATCAATTTATCAGTCAATACACATATAAAAATGCTGTCTTGAAGGGGCACAGGCATCCCACTGTTTATAGCAGCACTATCAACAATAGCCACATTACAGAAAGAGACTCACTTCTAGCCTAAAGATGCAAGCAGGCTGAAAGTGAAGGAATGGAAAAAGCATTATCATTCAAATAGAAGTGAAAAGAAAGCCTGGGTAAAAATAGTTATATTGGACAAAACAGACTTTAAAATAAAGATTGTAACAACAAAGAAGGATACTATTTAATGATAAAGAGAACAATCCAACACGAAGATATAGCAATTGTAAATATTTATGCACCCAACATGGAGCCCCCAATTACATAAAGCACCTATTAACAGACATAAAGGAAGTGATCTATAGTAATACAATAATAGTAAAGGACTTTAACATCCACTTAAATTGAT